TGGAGAGGAAAAAGTTATGCTGCGCTCGAGTCTGTGCCTTCGTGAAGAAGTCAGCCAACTGTAACTCAGAGGGCACGTAGTGAAGAGCGAGAGTCTGATCCTGCACAACAGCACGCACAAAGTGGGCATCCACACCGATGTGCTTGGTGAGCTCGTGCTTCACCGGGTCACGTGCAATACTGATAGCACCAGTATTGTCTGACAGTAAGGGAGTCGAGGTAGTAGCAGACACACCAAAATCCTTAAGTAACCATCGTAACCAGATCACCTCAGCTGTCAACATAGCCATGGCACGCAGCTCAGCCTATGTGCTCGAGCGAGAAACTGCAGTCTGTTTCTTGGTCTTCCAGGCAATAAGAGAGCCACCAAGAAAGACACAGTAAGCAGACAGTGAGCGTCGATCAGAGGGATCACTAGCCCAGGTAGCATCAGAGTAAGCCTGGAGCTCAAGAGAACTAGAGCGGTGAAAGAAAAGGCGCTGAGAGAGCGTGCCACGAAGATATCGTAGAACACGGAGGAGGTGACTATAGTGGACAGAGGCGGGGGCTGAAACAAACTGACTCAGGATGTGAACGGGATAGGAGATGTCAGGACGCGTAACAGCAAGATAGACAAGGCTACCAACAAGGTGACGATAGCGAGTGGGATTAGGAAGGGGATCACCATCAGAGGCACGAAGCTGAACGTTGAGCTCCATAGGAGTCACAACAGTGTGGTCATCACTGAGAGCAGCTCGAGCAAGAAGATCCTGAATATATTTCTCTTGAGAGATGTAGAAGCCATCGAAGGTCGAGGAGATCTCAATCCCAAGAAAATAGCGAAGAGGACCAAGATCAGTCATGAGGAACTGGTCATGAAGGCGAGCCTTAACAAAGGCAATGTAGTCGGAGTCGTCACCAGTGATGATCATGTCATCAACATAAAGAAGGAGAAGAGTCCGACCACGAGAAGACGTGTGAACAAACAACGTGGGATCATGATCACTGGGCAAGAAACCAGCGGCAGTCACCACAGAGGCGAAACGCTCAAACCAAGCGCGAGGGGCCTGTTTAAGACCATAGAGGGAGCGGCGAAGTCGACAGACCATACCATCAGGAGCATAATACCCCGGTGGTGGCTGCATGTAAACCTTCTCACGCAGCTCGCCATTGAGAAAGGCGTTCTGGACATCAAGTTGAGAGATAGACCACTGACGAACAGAAGCCACAGCAAGGAGAGTGCGGACAGTGGTCATGTGAGCCACAGGAGCGAATGTCTCGTCATAGTCGCGTCCCTGCTCCTGCTGAAAACCACGGGCCACAAGACGAGCTTTGTAGCGCTCAAGAGAACCATCGGAGCGAGTCTTAATCTTGTAGACCCACTTGCAGGTGATGGGACGAACACCGGAAGGGACGGAAAAGGAGGGAAACCAGCTCCCATGTGCCAGAGCGCTCAAGGGCAGCAAGTTCTTCGGCCATCGCAAGCTGCCATTCAGGTTGAGTCATGGCAGTCCGATAGGAAGTGGGCTCAGAAATGACAGAGAGACCATACCGATCAGGAGAGTAGCGATCAGGCGGGAGGCGAGGCCGAGCCCGGAGGTTGTGAACCGGGGGAGGCATGAGAAGAGTTGCACCAGAGGTGGAAGGCACGTGAGATGAGACATCCTCAGGACGAGGGCGACGAGTATAGTGGAGAGGAAACGGTGAGAGAGGGCGACGAACTGGTGATGATGGTGAAGAGGTGGATGAGAAGGATGGAGAAGGTGGGGTCGATGGTGAAGGAGAAGGAATGAGAGATGGCGGAGGAAGAGATGACATAGAAGGCACATAGCAAGCTGTATCGGGAAGGAGAAGGAAAGAGAGATCATCCACATAGAAGCTCGAGGATGAAGGACGTGGGTAGTAGGAACGAGACTCGTCAAAAGTCACATCACGCGAGATGCGCAAGCGACGACCCACAGGATCCCAACAGCGATAGCCCTTGTGCTCATCACTGTAACCAAGAAAAACACACTCAACCGACTGAGCAGTCAGTTTGGTGCGTTCTCGGGGGGCAAGAAGAACATAGCACACGCAGCCAAACATACGGAGAGCGGAGTAGTCAGGAGAGCGACCGGTGAGACAATCCAGAGGAATACCACCCTGCAAGGCAGTCGATGGCTGAATGTTGATGAGATAGGTGGATGCAGAAACAGCCTCAGCCCAAAAATGGGGTGGAAGAGAAGCAGCAATCATCATCGCACGAGCGGTCTCAAGCAAATGATGATGCTTACGTTCAGCAATACCATTCTAAGCATGGGCTCCAGGACAAGAGAACTGGGCAAGAGTACCCTATTCCGTGAGAAATCCACGCAACAGCTGGGAGATAAACTCTCTAGCGGAGTCAGCACGAAAAGTACGAATGGACATGGAAAACTGGGTGTGAACCATGGCAGCAAATCGTTTGTATATAGAGAGAACCTCACCACGAGATTTCATGAAGTAGAGCCAAGTTTAGCGAGAGAAATCATCAATAAACAGTACATAGTAGCGATGACCACCTTTCGAATCAAAGGGAGCAGGACCCCAAACGTCAGAATAAACTAAGTCAAAAGGACGCTGAGATACCGACTCACTGGTGGGATAAGGTAACTGTGTCTGTTTGCCCAGTCTGCAACCATTACAATGTAAAGAAATATCTCCAGATACAGACCCTAAGAGGCCCTGATGGACTAAGGAAGACAAGCGAGAGCCACAGAGGTGACCAAGGCGATGATGCCACTGTTGGAAGGACGCAGACGAAGAGGCGGCAAGAGCATGGGAGCTGGCAGAAGTGGTGGCAGCGGAAGGAACACAAAGCCAGTCGACCTCCCAAAGACCCTCTGACTCACGGCGCCGAGGGCCAGCACCAACCAAAGCCTTGGTGCGACGATCCTGAATAGAGCAAGAGTCGGTATCAAGAATGACACAACAACCAGAATCAGTAAGTTGGGCAGCAGAAAAAGATTCATGGTAAGACGAGGAACATGTGAAACACTTGGAACCGAAAAGGAAGGAGTGGAAAGAATGCCACGACTAGCAATAGGAAGAGGTGTGCCATCGGCGGTAAGAACATTAACAGGCGAATCAAGAGGTCGAAGAGAAGATAGAGTGGAAGAATCAGAAGACATATGAAAAGAAGCTCCAGAATCAAGAACCCACGAAGATGTATCTGACTGTGTAGGTGGCTGCGATGGTGATGAAGGGGATGCAGTCACTGCAGCAGCAGAACCAGTCGACGAGGAGTCGGATGAAGCAAGTAGACGCTTGAGGCGTACAATGTCCTGATCAGTGAGGGACGGAGTCGAGGAAGACACAGGAGTCCCGCTGGAAGGGGAGCGCCTCTGGTCTCGCTTCTTCTGGCGACAATCAGACTCTGGGTGACCTGACCGGGAGCAGTAACCACAGAAGGTGTCACGGCGCGACGGGCCCTTCTCAGCATAAGGAGGACGGCTGACCCCCCTGGAGGAGTAGGCAGGAGCGGTGGAGCAGTGAGGCGAGCAGACGACACAGGAGCTCGGGCGGCCAGCACTGACGGAACCAGAAGCAACCCAGCAGAGCGAAGGCGAGACTCCTCAACACGAAGCTCGGCAAGTACCTCCGAGATAGGAACACGACCACGAGCAAGCAAGTGAGCACGTCAAGATTCAAACTCGGATCGGAGACGAGATAAGAACTCATGTACACGCTGAAACTCCAGATCAGACCGAGTAGTCTGACAGCAACAACAGATTCCACAAACAACTGTCCGAAGAGAATCAAGCTGGCACCAGATGGCAGAGCACTGTGAATAGAACTCATCAACAGAGGAATCACCTTGCTGAAGTGCATGCTCCTGACGCACCACAGATAGGTAGAGAGCATCACCAGAGGGCTGATAGCGCTGACACAGATAAGACCACATCGCTGCAACCGTGTCAAGTCCCATGAACTCCGAAGCAAACTGAGGGAGAACACTCGCAGTGAGAACAGCAGCCGCTCGAGCATCATCATTGCACCACTGAGTGTAAGCAGACAGATCATCCCGGTAGACAGAAAGAGCATCAGAATAGGCAAATACCTGCTGATCATAAGTATCAACTGCAGCATCATCAAGAGTCTTGGCTGCATCCCGATCAGCCTGAGAAGCATCAGCAGCAATCACCGGCGGTACTGGCGGAACAGGCACCACCGGAGCAACAGGGCACGGCGGACAGGGTACCTCGCCAGAGAGAACACCCCACAGCAGGAGGCCGCGCATATGAATACGCATGAAACCGGCGAACTCAGCATAGTTGGTGCCATCAAAGATCACCGAGCAGCGAGGAACAGCCACATAGCCCGAAGATGACATACTGAGGTATCCCTTTTTTTGGAAGTCAACGGGTACAGGACAACCCAATCTGGATCGAGGGAAACACGAGCGCTCGCTCGGACGCCCCCCCCCCTCACTGGAAGCAGAGCAGCAGCTGAGCCGGCCCGATGGAACAGCACCCGGGCGGAGAGCTCAAGCGGCGGCCGGCCTCGAGCAAAGCCGAAGCAGAGCAGTGGAGCAGCAGCGGCCCCGGGCAGCGGGGAAGGCCGGGACGGGTAGAGCCGCGGCGAGTAGGTCCGGGGCGGCCAGATTTGCCGAGAGGAGAGCCAGGACGGCCGGAGCCCAGCGAGAAGGTCCGGGGCGGCCGGATTCGCGGAGAGGAGAGCCGGGACGGCTGGATCCGCGGGAGGAAGAGCCGGACCTGGCAGTGGGCGAATCGAGGAAGGAGCTAGCACGGAGTTACAGCGTGCGGGAGAGAAGGGAACCTAACATCTGATACCATGTTGGATGAATGGCAACTAACATTACTGAGGGCCAAAGGCCAATACATATACATGTGTGATGAAGTGCAGTAAACCCCTTATACAATGGGGATATACCGAAAAAAGACTATATACATCTAACACATATCACACTCATGGCCTGTCTTGGGCATAAAAATGAATCACGCTGAATTGTTTTTGCTTGGACCTGTTGTTATACTGTTATTTATTATATGATGAAAACTCATAAGTCTTTTATCTTGCATGCAATTTTTCTGCATCCTCAACTTTGCTTCTTAGAATTAGCACTTTGGTCGAGTATATATCACAACTTTCTGCCTGGAGTATAATTCTACTTGCTTGGACTGTATCATCTTGCACCTTGTATGCTTGCTTACGTATTACCTCATATGGTTCAATATGTCAATTCCTCAAAGGCGGTGTACTTCTCTATAGTTTTGGACCTCTATCAATTAATTCACATTGGAAGGGTTACCTTTTATTGATACTGATATTCGCATTATGAACAAATGTACTACAGGACAATGGGTGCGCAGAAAGAGCAAATGAGCAGCTGGCAACTCTGTCCATTGAAGGATCACCAAGATACAACAAAGAAAACATATTTCGCAAAGTCAATGCCAATCACTCGACGCCGGAAACAGAAATCATGGACTTGGACCCCCCGCTGTTCCAAAGCAGCACAAGAAATCAAGTCCCCAACGACACGGATCGATTGTCGGCGGGTGCCGATCCAAGCGACAAATGGCTCAAGCGCCTGCTCCATAACACCACAGACCCTCATGTCCACCGTTCCAAGAGGCCCAGAACCGGAGACTATCGTCCGGTTGGAGGAGCAGGTGGAATGTCCGGCACCTACATTGCCGACCATGTTGAAGCAAGGCGTGTTCGCTGCTGGATAGGAAGATTGTGCCGGGGTGGCGTCGCCCCTGTTTCGCACGGAGGACCAGGGCAGGGAACAAGAGAAGCAGCGGAGCCTGACGTCGCGGCCAGGGAACTTGGAGGCCATTTCCCGAGCATCAAGGCGATGGCGATGATCGGGCGGATGATGAGCAAGGTCCGGCCATTTGATTATGAAAGGAAGGGACCTTGTGTTATGTGGAAGGCAGAGGAAGGAGCCTGAGTGGCTGGCTAGCTTTTTACTTCTTCTGTTTTGTGTGGTGTACTGGTGTAATATTTGCCGCTACATGTCATGTGGTCTGTTCTAAAGATTGTATAAATAAAGTGTATATATGTATGTGTAATGTCAGCTATAGCTCGTCATATGACCACTTGTTGTTGTTTTCTGAAGGGAGATCAGTTAGTAGAAGGCAAATTGGGTAGTGCTCCCTCCATTTCTTTATTCAAGATCAGCTCGTATTTTGTGTTTATCTTTGATCAACGAATTGATCAATAAAATATAAGGTATATGCTACAAAGAGTATAATTGTGGACTCACATTTAAATAAAATGTGAATCATAGACATTTTAGTGCATATAACTCATATTTTGCTGGTCAAATAGATAGTCGAAGTTAGACTCAAAATACGAGGTGGCCTTGTAGTGGAAAAATAGGAGTAACAACTCAGGGCAAATCCAACGTTAATCATGATATGGACATCATCAAATGTTAGCGGACACATCCGGGTGTGTCCATGGATAGGCGGGTGGGAAGTCCGCCATCCAACTGAAGTCACCAAAAAAAGGGACAGTGATTTTTCATTCATTTTTCGAATTAATTTTTACATAGCAAAAAGGATCCTAAAAACAACTAAAAATCCTAGTCTACTCCTCTTCGTCGGAGGTGAGCTCAATGGGTCTTGTGGTGGACTCTGGGTGCCCGGGGTGTCAAGTGGGATAAAACCCACTCCAGTTCCCCGGGGATCCGGTCTCATCAGGAGAACCGACCACTTGTGCCAGAGGTCTGCGACTGCGAGTCCAGGTGCCCGGGTGACCAGAACCATTCTGACCACTCCAGGTGCGAGGTCTCTAGGCTCCGGGGACTTGGGGTCCCAACACTAGCACACCTTTACCAGGTCAAATCCCTCTTTGAAGATTTGAAAGGTTTGGGGAAAAAGTATATGAGTAGGTATCATGTTTCCCAAGTTGTCAAACACCTCGACCCCTCTTCTTACTGTGGTTGTTCTATGACTCAAATAAAACAAAAAAACTTTTGAGTCTTCAGAAAACTCATGCCTTTTTCTTTTTCAATTAGGGGTCACCCACGTCCGTGGACGATCGCCAAGAGGCCAATATCCTGAGATAAACCTGATAACCGATATTAAACCTCACTGACCCTATTGTCACCAACACCAAAATATCATTGGGGAAGCAATGCACTTCTAGTACTAATGTTGATATTTGGTATGATGCTGGTTATGCGCTAAATATGTTTGAGTGCTCAACACGGGATCAATCTAGGTCACTGGATTGACATGGTTCGATAGACGAGATTAGTTTGATATGCCCTTTTGGGTTTTTTATATTGGTATAGATACACAGAGATCCAGTCTCGAAGATATGAAG